CTACCCGCCTCCCTACCCGCCTCCCTACCCGCCTCCCTACCAGCCTACGTCACTGCCCGCCAACTCACGGACTTATTCGCCGCCGGCGTGCATCAGCCCTATTCATCGTTGATAAGCGGCTTCGTTGAAGAGAGTCCCACAGTCACGGAGAATGGTCACACATTTTCATCTTCTATATCGAAATAACTAAAATGATTTATCATTAAGAAGAAACCCTTACTTAATGTTTACGACAATTGAAACTGGTGAAATGCAATATGTGTGACTTGAAATTAAGCCGTCCTTCGGTTCATTTCAGATTTTTGAAAGAATTTCTGAATTTTAAGTTTCCTATGTTTGAATTCCTTAAACTTTCTTAGCTAAATTTAGGTAACAAATAACCACCAAACATTGGGAGAATTCTTAATGTTTTGAATGAACTATTGTTATTTTATAAAAGAATATTGATTGTCTTTAATTATTGGAATATCAACATCGTAAAAGATGTAAATATGATATGAAAACATATAAACTCCTAAAAAACGATTCCCTTAAATAAGAAGATGTATTACATAATTGAAATCGTCTTTTTAAGCTCCTTACGATACGCAAAATTTAGCGTAGGATTTCAATTGATAAAACAAAGTTGACCTTATATCTTCGTAGTGAAAAACGTTCAAAAACAAATTATGCTGTAATGAAGTAGCCTTTGTTCATGCAAATGACTACCCAAACATGATCTTCGTATCTTGTTCGGTTGAGGAGATACAAGTGTTATCACTTAGTAGTTTTACCCTGTGTATAAGAGATGTTCCTGCGAACGAACTCCATGAAAGTTGGCACATCTACGTGTTTTTTCAACCAGAAGTTTTATGCGCTATTAATATTGTTGTAACTCCACTAGATCGCACTGCAGAACAAACTTCGCTCCACTTGGGCTTCACAGAGAGACACGGAGAGACGGAAGGGACAAGAACGAGGAAGGAAATACCCTGTGCGACCCACAGCCCTTTCCTTGAAGTATTGGTCAGGCATTCCCTTGTTATTTATCGGGGAAACCACCACGAGTATTCGTATCGTATTATTTTATATTATTTATATCCATGGAAAAAAATTACCGATCAAGTATTATGAGTATTGGTTGATGGTTCAAGTCCGACAATATCGACGTATCGATACTTTCTTGTCTTATGTTATGGATACGAAAAAATTAAAATTCAAATATCTCATCAATTGCGATTCGGATTCAAATCGCTATCTACTGGTGGGTACTTGATTCTGTTGAATGTAGGGATAAAATGGTTAGAAATAATATATTTTCAAAAACTCAGAGACCTCAACTAGCAATGACAGTATACGAAGTCTGTACTCGTCTGGAAAATTTTATATCAAATTAGAGAAGAGAATAAATGATGAATAAATGTGTTGGGGAATTTCAGAAATCTGCGCTCAAAGAAGATAACAGACTTCGGATAAATGGTGGCCCGAAACGCTAACAAAGGCAACCGAGGTTGATCCCTTCTTCACGCAACCAAATCTGAATGTGACGAGGGCTTGCATCATCCGCAAAGCACCACAACGCCTTTACCCAATTTTGCATATTAATGAGCGCTAATTCAACCGACCGTACAGTTACTAATGAAAGACCCCGTTTTAATACGTCGCCTGAAATTTTTTCGACGTCTTCCTTTCGACGTCCTTGATAAAGACAAAGAGGGATTGAGACGGCAAATGAAGCGAAATCGTCTTTGTGTCCAAACCGAAATTGAGCGAAAATCCCTTTCCGCCGATTCCTTACAGAGTGGCGACGAAAATTTCTTCCTCTTTCACTTTCATCGTTCTTTGCTTTGAGCTTGTGGTCACTTAAAGTCGACCTCTCTTGAGAGGCAATACTGCTACTTCTCCGTAAGTTAAGAAGTAATGTGAAGTTACAAAGAATCCATGTTGCATCATTCAGTGAGAACGAATATGTTTCTGTGAGTATAACGGACACAATGACTACATTTAGCAACTGGTGCTACATCAACAAATACTTTTCGCTTGTTTCTAACTTTTGCAATTTTCGATAATTCAGAACGATCAACGAAAAGGAGATCTGACAATTTTTAAAACCACCACTTAACAAGAAGTTTACTGGTTTACCCTTAGGATATTTTCAATACATTCATCGTGTAGAAGCACTTTTTTGAAACTAAACATCCCTTTTAAAAAAAAACGAACGTACTGGTACGGCTATATCAATGACATTCTAGCTCAATGGACCGGCACAACAAGACAACTTGACCTCTACGTCGAGTTTCTTAACTGCAGACACACACCTGTAAAATTCACTTCAGAATTGAAAACAAAACATTCCAATAATTTCTTACCCAAAACCACCTCCAGGATAGACAACAAACACATTATTCATGTTTTTAGAAAACCCACAGACATACTTATGTCATCCACAATATATTCCTAAATCCATCTGCTCACAAACACGTGGCTTTCCACTCCATGATTCACAGTTTGTCAGCCTTCCGCTCAATTTTCAAAACGAAACCGTCACTATCAAATACAAAGCTACCGCCAATTGATATAGTACCACACTCATTGCCAACATACTAAGCCACAAATGTAGTCGTCGGAGTCGGAGTCGGAGTCGGAGTCGGAGTCGGAGTCGGAGTCGGAGTCGGAGTCGGAGTCGGAGTCGGAGTCGAAGTCGAAGTCGAAGTCGAAGTCGAAGTCGAAGTCGAAGTCGAAGTCGAAGTCGAAGTCGAAGTCGTAGTCGAAGTCGAAGTCGTAATCGTAGAAGTCGAAGTGTAGTCGAGTCGTAGTCGTA